GTGAATTTTCCCTTAAGTATCGATAGTTAAGAAGCCCCATTTACTTACTTAACCCAGCTGTCTTAATTAGAAGTCAAAGAGGCCCAGGTCTAATGAGCAAGTAAGACAAAAGATTAATTGAGATTACGTGATCAAGAACACTAAATACCTACCTAATTACATTACTTAAGCTATTTCATAGATAAAGGCTTCAGACTCTACAGACAAGAATGGCAACTTAGCGTAAACGTTTCAGTTTAACATGCTCAAGGTCATGTCAAAAACAAATCATCTCTTTCATCCGATATGAGTTAGAAGTCCAATAATAACAATTGACTGCTTGGATAATGATATAAATATCATTAAATAATTATTTACAAGCTTGTTTGCAGGTAGAATACAGTGACTTTTTATGTTATAAGATGTTTTATTTGTGATAGGCCGGCAAATTAGCAGTCTGATTACCTGATGGTAAACAATCAGCGCCGCCCATGGACACCCGCAACAACAGAGGAGCAAGAGTGCGTTGATGGTCATTTGGAGCTTAGGGATTTGAAGATTTAGGAATTAGGTAGGCATTGTGGGAATGGAAGGTTTGGGCCTCCGGTAACTTCATTCACACGGCGAAACACAATTTAATTTGTGTCGAATCATAGCCCTCCCATAGTTCACTACACGACTTAAAAATGACCTTCAGAATTCTGCATACATTTATTTGTTCCTTTAGCGATAACGATTATCAATACTGAGCTGGTGTCGATTTAGAGAGGCGATCTAAAAATTGTCAATGCCTATAATTAAGATGAATCAACAACAAATAATGAAGAAGAAATACCAAACGTGAAAGAAAGAAATTAAATTGAGTATAATCGTGATTGGAATAGCGAGCAACGGTCACACAGACGACCTTAGTGTCTGATGCTATATGGTAAATAGTTTATTGAGATTCACACTCTGTGCTGGTCTTACTCCAGCTGACAAAACTGGGCCAGCAGCGGCGCGACACAGAAGATAAAAGCAGCCGGCGCCGCTTGAAACAAATGATTATTTTAGGCGCATTTACTCTATGCCTATAGAATACTTTGTTAGGAATGATAGGTGTTGTAAAATAATGTACCGTTGTTTGAGGAAACAAATTGACACTTTTGTCACTGATTCTGTATAAAGGTTGGTCAAGTCTAAATCTTAATATATATATTTTTTGCTATCACCTGGTAATTATTTTCACTGAAATTAAGGATGACTGTTAATATAACCACCAATTTTTAAATCCCAGGAGACCTCAGAGTGCACAGTTCAAGGATCAGAATCTTGCTTAAAAATACTCGACACTATATCAAACTTTGTACTGTTAGTAATGATAAACTTAAATCCTTTTTTTTCTATTCTCCGTGATCCGAAATCCATTAGTCAGTCATAATTTGTATGATTTTTTTTTTATTTGAATGTAGAAAATGTTTGATTTAATTTTTCCACCCAGGATGAGGCGAAAGGGAGTATTACACTTTTACTGACTAAAAGCAAGCTTGTTCTTTGTCCTCCTCTGGGTGGGATTGCGCTTGTATCAGCTAATTGGTTTGATTACCAAGCCAATTTCTTAATGAAAACTTAATCGTAAAACTGTGTACAAGCAATAATTATTATGTATTCTAACAACGAGGGCACGCGGAAGATGTTGAAGTGCCAATTAATTTTAGTCACAAACCACCGCAGTGAATTGTTACATTTTCGCAAGAATTTCAATTGAAATAGATGCTTATGCGCTGGAGACGCGTTCTTTTCGCATACATTATGACGCCTTCGTATGAGGAGCTCACGTGAGATTGATTATAAAATAGGTACTTATTCAAGATGTCCAATTACATTTAGAAATAGCTACTCAGTATTCTCTTTATTTGGGCTTTCTGGTTATTTAATTATTTCTCTCTTTTTGCATTTTTTTCATCCATGCGCATTGCGAATGGCGGAATTTGTACCGTCGTTTTTTTTAATCAAAGAGATGAACTGGTATACACTACATTGGCTAAGTGTGCTCTGCACTTGCCATTATTATTATCTTTTTTATTTTTACCATCCTTTGCGAAGTGTTTACGTTTTCCTAGGTTGGCTCCCACCAGGATTACGACTTATATCTCTTTTATAAATAATTTTCTTTCTCCAACTTTCCTTCATTTCTCTTAACATACTTAATCCACATTCAAAACGCAATCTCGTAAAAATTTGCGTCATTAGGTCTTCTATTGATGTTATTCGTTATATAGAACTTAGTTTTTTACGACTTTTAATTTTTTTTGTTAAACCATTTTTGTAGGGCACGCCAAAAACCATTTTATCAATAATTAAATTCATTTTAAGATCGATTCTGTACCTTACACTACTCTACGCTAGGAACAAAAACCTGTATGCCTCTCCGCTAAATAAATAACAAGTAATATTACGTCTAAATTTGAAATAGTTTAGTTACATAGGTACTTAATTTAATATCCTGTTTTTACAAAGGTTGATTTTGTTACTCTTGGACCAATGACAAAATAACAAAAAGTCCCACACTTTTTATACCTTGGTATATGGATTATTAACAAAAAATAAAATCTCATTCTTTAACCGTTATCACAATAACTCTAAACCTGGAAACCTTCACAGAATAAATTGTAGCAAATCGATGTAATAATTAGATGAATATAAATTTATTATAAAAAAGTGGCCAGCTTTCACAGGGAGCGTAAGCAGTAATCGGTCGGTAAATGAAAAAACAGAAGAGGGAAATGTTGGTCGTTGGTGTAGTGACAGAACCGCATTCTACGACTTTATACGGCGCACACACATTCAGTTGCCGGCTACGTAACTCTTCTTAAGGAGGAGAGTGTAGTGGATAAGAGAAGCGAGCTCAAATATCTTAATGAAACTTCCAGAAGAATCATAATCGTCTTCTTAGATCACTAGTTAAATAGTCACAAATTTTAATGCTGACTATTAAATCGTTCCTTAGGCAAAAATCTCATCTAGGGTGTTTTGATGGCACGCATGAGGTCCATTAGTGCTGATATTCAGCTGGAGCTGTAGATGGAAGGGCAACGATGAAATGCGGCCCAACTCGGAGTAGTATAAGACACGGGGTTGTTATTGGTCAGTAAGAGTCTCACTCCCTTTCACCATGTTTAGGGTAGAAGAAGACACTGGATGATTTCCCCGCTGCAAGAATAAAGATTTGCTGTAAATACACTTTTAAGATTATGTTGTGAATAAGTAAATGTCATTAATTTATAGACTTTACTATTAATTTAATGCTAATAAGAAAAAGATGTTGGACCCAAAAACTTCCCTTGGGGCACTCCTTCAATGCGTATTTTTTTTTAGAGAGAGAAATAGGAAGATGTAATCTCACACTTTAGTCATTAATCGCTGTTTTGAACGCAATGTAAGCTCTCCCTTTAGTTGTGTCTGATGATAAGGAATCCTATGTTTTTACGAGCAGTTCGGTTTGAATGGACGCTCAGTGACCAAATATCCTGTGCGCTTTATGTACTGTGATACTCTTACATGGGTTACACTCACAAGATTTATGTACATACTTATGTTAATACGGTGCTTTAGTAATCGGTAACTGATACTCCTAGGTATTTTCTTTAATTGCATTTTTCGCTTGTCTGATCTAGGATATCTGTTTAGGTTTTTTGATGATCTTCATGTACAAGAAAATGTACACAAGGTGGCCTTAGTGCTATTTAAGATGTTTAACATTTACGTTTTCTACATTCTGATATAGCGATAGCTTTTCTAAACAATTTAAAACAAATTTCATTCTGGAAATCATTTAAATATCCTTATCTAAATAAATGAAACTATAAATTCACAATTTCACGCAATGATATAACTACAAATATACCTTTGCACTACACATAAAATAAATTTCTCAAAGAATTTACAATCAAGATATCAATCATGAACTATTAATGATACGGACGAAGTAAACAATCCACATATTACATAATACAAGTCTAGGCTGTTACGTCTGTACCTAACTAGGCATTACTATAGGCTAGCTAGACGACTATGCTTAGGAGTACTAGGTCCACTTGATAACTAGATCTATAGTGATGGGTGACGCCCGTATGTGTCACTTATGTGGGAGTATATAGAGTTGATAATGTAGATTTGGTTTACGAATTATCTTATGTTTAAGTACTTGTTTTTAACAAAAACCTCAGATACATTTTTATCTTTAAAAACCGTTAATTAAGAATGTTATAGTTTTAGTTGTCATGGACACCCGCAACAACAAAGGCGTTATAGTGAGTGCGTAGTAGACCTTTTTTTGGTTTATGATTTGGAGATTTAGGGATTGGGGGAGATGAAATAATGGCCCTTCTGTAATCTCACTCACACAGTTTCAGTGAGGCCGTGGTAACAGAACACTCCAGTCGAGGCTGAAGAATGGCTCTTCCACACTTAAAACTAAATCACACACAAGTACTAATATAAATCAGGGCCTCGAGTCTGCTATTACAATAGTGTCAGAATAGTAGATCATCATCATCGTGTGGGAATGACAACACTTTGAAAATAGTAGACTTGGGCCTCAGTTTGGCCCAGAACACTACCTTGAGGCACTCCTACGACGATCACATAAATACATATTATATTTATAAAACAAAAGAGAATTATTAAATATACAAAGTATGTCTAAATCAATGCTTTTATCTCAATTGATATCTAGACAGCATCAATAACTAGTCTAACGCCTAAGGCAAATCCAGAAAAACTAAATCAATTACGTATTTGCATATTCTGATCTATAGAATTATACATTAATTAACAGATAATTTACATCAGCTATGTATCTTCAAGTGATCTGATTACATTCTATCATGATCGAGACTCATCCGAGAATTCCTAGAACTGACCACTCCATATAAACTCTTAACAAGTTTCCTATACAGGGTGTATTAATCGTGTTTCCGCGGAACACATGGCGTGTTATAAATACAAGATTACTTTCCTTCACTGTATCACTTTCATTCCACACTTGATATAGTTTAGTTGGAGAAAATGTATCCAGTTTATTATGTAAGTTTTGTTTTTATTAATTACAATTTATCTGAAGGAAATCTCCTAATTTCGTTTTAGTAGATCTTTTGCGTAGTTTTGATTGTTTTTTAGAAGTACTTACTCATACTTAACTATACCAAATCAGTATGACAAGTAGGTGTATCATTCACGTGCAAAGCATCCTTATCCTTATCTCAGTCATGTTTAACAATTGTATTTTTGGATTCCACTGACATATCACACGTGTTTTGATAGTCTTTGTTCTCAGAAATAAAACTGTCATCAATTGTAGAATCCTTTGAGACTTGCCCAAAAATTGAGATTTTAAGTTCTGTTGATAGTTACAATAGATACTATTTATTTCTTCGTCTGCGTTTACTACCCTGTTCTTTTCGTTATTATAAATATCTTTCTCTCCAATCCGCCTTGAGCAACTGTAGTGATTAATGCTTTATCCTTCTTCGTGTCAGAAGAAGTCTTATATTATCTCAGCAGAGGCTACTTTTAAGATGATTATGATGGATCTCATTGATATTTATTTGTATATGAATGACCGACCATCTTTCGTTATCTCTTTGTTAACGATGTTTACATTAATGAGTTCGGATGTACTTCTTAGATAAGTAATTGTAAATAGATTTCTTGTTGCCGGAAATTTTCATTCGTAATCTACTTTATTATGAGAACCCAGATAGAGTTCAATGTAATAACTGATTTATAGAGTACGTTTCCATTTGTATTAGTTGTATTGTGGGAAGTATTTACATACATGTAAATTTAAGACTAGTTTAATTTAGGAACATAATATAATATGATAAAGAGTGAGAGTGAAATAAGTATAAGTCAACTTTTTCCTAGAATATTTCCAAAACTATCTTTGAGGAAAATGAGTTTCTGTAAAGGGTATATCAAATTCCTTTAAGTGAGTCCGTCGAGTGAAAATCCACTTGGTTTCTTCGGTAACGGTATATTATTACGCTTGCATTAACAAACACCCCCAATCCCATTTGCACTTCAGCCATTTTAAGCTATATATGTAGTTGTCTGTTAACATCTTTTGACTTGCAACTCCGGCTGAAAAAAAAGGTGGTTGACTATGTATTTGTAGCATTTTTTGGTGTTCAGTGTAGTGTGAGCACCACGTTCTGCCACTGGAAACCAAGTTAAAGCATGTGGTGCTGATCACTTAGTAAGAGATAATACGTCTACAAATTTACCTTTATTTGCATTTTTCAAAAATGGTTCATTAGGGTTTTTTATCTGTTATTGTATAGATGCTAAACATGACTAGGTTTTTTAAATCACTGACAAAAACTATATTATTATTATTGTTGATAATGTGCAGGACCACATGACGTTAGTTAAAAATTGTAGGTTAGTTAGTTTTAAAGCAAAGTTTATCAGAAGTTCATTAGATACCCTCATTAATGTTGAACTTATAATTGTTATAAATTATTAACTCTATATTTTTTTTCTTATAATTCACTTAAAATGTTTTATTTAATGTTCATACTAGCAAAGTATAATACAGGTTTATGATATATTAAATAAATCACAGTATCGAATGTCAATTTTCTTTCTCTTAAATAGAATTCATATTTCTTGTTTTCGAAACTTTGTTTTTTGTATGATATGGAAATATACCTACTAGCAATCAGCAGTGTGATTCTGTAAGACTTCATTCTAAACTTCGAATCTGAATCCGCTGTGAGTAGTTGTACACTAGCGCTACACTTGCGAGTTGAACTAAATTGACAGCATCATTTTGATAGATAAAGTAGGTATGAGATGACGTTAAAAGTGGCATTCTAAAATTTAATTTCCCTGTCACTTCGACGCTCACTTCGCACTCAAACACGATCCAAAATCAAACAAATTTTATAGAATCGACGTGCAGATCGACTAATAGTAAAACATTCAGCGCCTGACTACCATCTAATTTACTTCAACCTCAGTTGGGTTTCAGTCAGTACGAGCCTGACACCCGACACTCCCTCTCGCCTCACCCTGGGCGGGAAAGTCAATTGATGATTTTTCCTTAACAACCAAAGTTAGCAAAAATGACGATGTACAAAGAAAAATCGACAGCATGAATTGATTCATAATAAAGTTTAGCTCATTCATTCTAGAACAAACCTCAGTGCATAGGTATCTAATCAGCATAATGTGCGTAATTACACTAAAGTAACATTCGATTACCTGATAAGATACCGCTGGCGATTTTAGCGAAATACCAATACATACTATATGTATACGCTCTATAGTGTAGATGAAAGTCATTTTCCGGGATTTCATATGTCGCTCAGTTTTTATGGCTTAAAGGAAAAAGAAATATTTTTAAGGAGATTATTACAATCATTACAATAGTAAAAACCAAAGTCATTTTTTCTGTCTCTACCTAGGTATGTTTAACTCTTTTTTGCGAAACGGATTTGGATGTGGTTTATTAATAAACAGTGATTAAAGAGGAAGTTTGTTTAAAATAAGCATTCATTACATCCATGCAAAGTCGCTAGTTATATATACATGATAGCACAATGGAAAAGTAGACTTAAAGTTACCACTAGAATGGATTTCAAATGATTTTCATAGATGCTTAACAACACCATACTTTGATTAAAATGTCAAAAATTCTTCTTCTTTTCCAGATATTGCTGTTTCTCTGCGTACACCATGCTCACAGCGCTGACCAAGCGAAGCGATCTGTAGGCTCGATACCGATTCGCCACACTTATTCAGAGTACCACAACAAAGTCGCCATCCCAGTTCCCCAACCTATCCCTATTGGCGTGCCACGGGCTGTTCCTTACCCTGTTCATGTTGGAGTGCCTGTGGACCAACCCCGTCCTGTCCCAGTACCTGTACCACATCCTGTAGCCCACGTTATATCCCGACCTGTGGCTGTGCCCATAGACCGTCCCTTCCCATACCCGTACGCACAACCAGTGCCGGTAACTGTGACCCAAGGAGTAGGGATTCCTGTTCCTCAACCATATGCGGTTGGAGTACCCGCTCCTGTACCGGTGGGAGTTCCCCAACCAGTTGCCGTACCTGTATCTGTGGTTGGTGGTGGGTTGGGTGGAATTGGAGGGATTGGAGGGATCGGAATCGGAGGAATTGGTGCAGGTGGAATAAGCAGTATTGGAATTGGCGGGATCAGCAGTATTGGTGCTGTTGCCGGTCATTCGTCAGTAATTTCTCAGCCTGTGATTGGTCACGGGTACGGTGGTTCTATTGCAGCGTCGCATGCGCACAGTCACCATTACTGATATTTCAGAAGTCATCCATGTTGGTTATTTATTGTAGTTAACCAAATGTAAATAGGTATAATTTTATATGTACATTGATGTCAAATATCGAACAATAATTGTATCGCAAATGTATTTTAAGTATATTTTGCATTTTGTTTATGTATGAGATCCTCAGATGGTTTTTGCCCTTAGTCTGAAATTCACTTGTACTATTTGCCTCTTAAAATGCACAGTAAAACGTTCTGATAGTTTTTCATAACTCCACCACAGATCGCGGTCATTTCTCACTCACCTAATATCTAGTTTGTACTGTACATATTTATCTTTTATATCTTTGTTTGTCCATTGTCTTATTGGTATCTTGTTGACTACTGTCTCATAAGTGTGTACTCTCCGAATCCTACGTGACATGTCAGCCTCAACTTTTGTCAGTTTTCTCACGCAGTGTCGGGAGGATTATTTCGTGTAATCCTTTTTTGTCGACTTAATAATGTTTTTGATGTTCTTGTTCCAAATGTAGTCAAAATAGTTTGTCATAACGATGTGCTATAAATATGCGAGCTTGTTTAAATGTCTGTGGATGCGGGTGCAAGCGCAATTAATGTACCGAAGGCCCAGAGCAGGAGAAGGTAGGCAGGGAAGGTACAGGGTCGATTTAGACAGTTAGAATCTATTTTTTTGTGAAGGGAAATCTTCAAATGACTGCTCCCGCCCAGGGCCGGGGGGGGGGGGGGAGGGAGTGTTAAACTCTTACTGACTAAAAACCCCCCATTCCTTCTCCTGCTCTGGGCCGAGGTCGCGGTACGTCATTGCGCTTACCCCGCAACCCCGGCTGAACATCTGCCCTATAGGGCCCCATCTGTGGTGGTCTATTGGCTAGTCAGTTAGAGTCTGAAACTCCTTCTGGGCCAACACTCAGACCATCGGTAGAAGACGAAAAGGCTAAAAGCATTACTCCTTTAAAAAAAAATCTAGGAACTATGGTGCTCTAGAATGGAATCTAGAAATTTTAAGATATTTTTCAGTATTTTGTTTTTTTATGCTAACGTTGCAATAACAAATTATATTTGTCTCTTTTATGGGTTATGTATTGTGACATTGCCGTAATTATGTATTTTTGTATTAGTTAACGATATTCAATTATGTGCCTAATTGTTTAGTGTAGGTAAGCCGATTATAGACTGGTATATTTAGTAGTCATTATTTTAATGTTTAAGCTTTAGTAGTTTTTAAGATTGTTTATAATGAATAAATATTTACTTCATTAAACTTTTGTAATTAAATGAATTTTCTAAAGAGAAAATTGTATTTATTTCAGTGCCTAAATCTTTTCGCCAATCGTTTTTTACGACCTTATAATATAATATAAATCAGAGCAATTTATTAATTCCGTATACTCATTTCATTACATTATAAAGCTATCTAATTATATACCTTCTATGAATTATGTTCAAACCTTCTCCATGTGAGAAGAGACCTTCTCCATGTGAGGCCCTTTGCTCAGCAGTGGGCACTTATATAGGCTGATGATGATGATATACCAAGTACATATCTATGATTATCAAAATATCACTCAAACCTGGGGGCAGGACAACATTTAAAAGAAATCTGGCGTTATAATATCTTGTTCATATTATAAATGCGAAAGTTACGATGTTCGATGTTTGTTACTCAATCACGCCAAAACTGCTGGACGGATCTAAATGAAATTTGGCACAGGTATAGTATACACTCCGGAATAGGCTTTTTATCAACATACCACGCAGGCGAAGCCCGTCGGGGGGTTGCGACGAATGCTTTGGCGATACCCACCCCTACGACACATGGGTAAGTGGAGTAACACCGGGTTGGTTTTTAGTCAGTAAGAGTCTGACAGTACCCTTTGCCCTTCCCCGAGAACGATGGGTCTCCGTGAGGATTATCCGAACCGATACAAAAAAAAGGCGAAGCCGCGGATGGAAGCTAGTCTAATTAAAAGTTTGAAATCGTCAATCCACCTTGAGCAAGAGTGGCGTAAAATGTTCAAGCCTTCTCCGCGTGAGAAGAGGACTTGCTCAGCAGCGTATGCTGATGGCGATAGCTGATGCAATTTAAGCTAAAGTTATAAATATGACAGTTTCTGACAGTATACAAAACCACTCGTACTTTACTGTGCAAAACTACTGAACGAATCTGGACGAAGTACATACGTACATACTACTCGTATTATGCCGCAAAAACGCGGGCGAATCCGCTGGCAGAAGCTAGATAGAATTCTGTGTAAATAAATTAAAACAATCAGTCACACGAACTCGTTCCTAATAATATAAAGTCGTAACACTAATGAACAATAACAAATTATACACTTACTTAGTATACTTAACTAATAAGTTTTAATAGGAATTGTAAACAAATAAATTAATACACATTTACTCACGTGCAGGGATAAGTAATGGCTAATGGGATTATCTATTATTATCACTGGCCTACCCTAGCACGATAAACAGACTCTTATCGGCTACTGATAGTACGATATCAGTTCACTGTATTTAGGCGAACGCGGCGGTCAACCATTTTGATAACTATTTCCATATTATTTATTTTAAATATTATTTTTTTAAATTTGACTTTTGTGAGTGTTACAAAAATGAGGTTGAATAGTAAGTATTCTTTTAAATTTATTTTTCGTGTTTTTAAATCTCAGTTCGAGTTTGGTTTTCGTGTGTGTGTGTATGTTTAAACTACTTAACGGATGCTTCGATTTTGATGCTGTTTTGTTTTTGTTTAATTCAGTGCTTTGTGTTGTTTTTCTTTGGTTTGTTAGAACTTAGTGTTGCGGTGAGTTATACATTTTTGTATTTACCTGCAACCTTATAAGGTTTCTAAGAAAAATTGATTAGGTACTATGATTATAGTACATATAAATATTTATTTCTAATGAATCACCATTTTGATCATCAAACGTAATACAAATATATTTGTCACACAAAGAAAAAGATAAGGAAGTACCTTAATATTGAATTAAGTGAAGCGCCTAGTAGAAATTTTATATTTAATTGCAGTTAAGCAACAAAGAGCTATCTCTCTATTCCAACTTTAATATATTTCCATATTGTGGTATTTTAATAAATACAAAACTTCATATACACGCAGACCCGAAAGTCAAACACAGAAAAGAATAGTTCCGAGGATGAATTGAACACATTAAAACACAGATTCAGCAGTCGAAAAAAAAAACGAAAAAAAAAAAATGTCTATCTATACATTCTCTATATCTATATCTCTCGTTTAATTGAACGTTTCAACAGCTTTTTTTTATTAAAAAAAATATTTATCTAGCCTTGTCTATACCTACATAATATTTGTACATATGTGCATTCCCACACTATGTTATTTTCCCACAGATGTGATTCGTGATGACAAGTATTAAACATGTGTGTAAATAAACTTCCGAAAAGGTCTACTGTCTTAATAAGTACCTAACAAAAATACAAAACGAATGATTTTAAACATATTTTGCATGGTAATTTTCGTATTGTTTTGTTTTAGGGCTCAGAATGTAACCTTTATTATTTTTATTTCATTAACGAATTGATAGATTAACTTATTATTTCATAATGTGTGAATAGCCAGTACGTACTAAACAAATTTGAATAAAGAACGTAATTTTTATGTCACGTTTCCTAATTCACTTTTCGACTTTTTTAAACTTTCCTCTGACTATAATAAATACAACTAAAAAAGAATTAAAATTCGTCCAGTTCAGCTGAAGGATAGGTACAGGGTAGATCAAGGAGGCATTTATTACAAAAAAAAATGTTGCAAGGACCAAAAAGGTCGTGAATATCGATACCTATCATTATGATAATATAGTTAGAGATTTACAATATCAGTTATCAGCGGATAAGGTCGACTGATAAGCTATTGTTGAACATTATGTATCGACCATCCATCGATATACCTAATAACAAGTGAAAGCCTAAAGAAGGTTCAGTTTTGTTGATATTAACTTGGTTATATTATTTGAAACTTAATCACATCGTCACATCAACAGCCTATAAATTAAATTAAATTCTTTATTTCAAACCAGACATCGATATATAATTATATGTAACTAGCTACTCACGCGCGGTTTCACCCGCGCTATAATATTAATATATATTAATATGTATAATTTGTTGCTGCTGCTGCAGCTCTATTTGATCGCAGCGTGATGTTTTATAGCCTATAGCACTCAGGAACATTGTAGCTCTATCAGTGAAAGAATTCCGGAAATCTGACCAGAGGTTCGAAAGTTTACCCCCTACATACAAACTTACAAACTTAAAAATTTTACCTCTTTATAATATAAGTATTGATTTCGTATCCAAATGTTAGGCAGAAAACATTAGTTAATATATTTTATTAATTATTTTCATGGGCATAAGGACGCACAGGAGTAACTGCCCAGTGTCTAATAAACGGCCCAGCAATTTTGTCAGCCAGTGTAGTTAGTATACTGTTAGGACTGTCCCTCAATCACCCCATCATGGATGCATATCGCTTGTGTATAATGGCATAAAACTCATCAGCTCTGACTACCGCAAAAAATCCAGACGCGCTACATCAAAGCCCATAAGTGCTCACTGTTGAGCAAAGGCCTCTTCTCGCACGGTGAAGGTTTATGCATTAATCACTACGCTTGCCCAAAGATTTGCGATTTTAAACTTGTAATTAGAAATTATAGACGTCCAATTTTTCTCACGATGTTTTTACTTCACGCTGTGTCACAGTTGTAGTGGTGTCTAAATTATCATAGAAAATACATATAACTCGGAACAAGTTACATTGGCACCTACTTGGCAAATTTCGAACACGCACCATCATACATGAGAAGCGAGATCTTAACCTTCGGGTCACCACGACGTTAAAATAACTTTAATCAAATAATCAATCTTCTTCAAATTCTATCCTGGCTTCGCCTTTTTCAGAAGAGGCAAGAAACCTATATAAACTGGCATTTTTTGTATTGAAGTAGATATGTAATTTATAAAACCTTTGTAATTTTAGTTAGTAGCTATTTTTGTTGATGTTACAGGGTGAACGCACCCTTAAAACTCTTAATATGCAATAAAAAAGAAAACTGTTAACTTAAGCTAGAATCCATCATTTAGTAAGAGTCTCGCAAGGTACACGGCATATCTAGGTACATAAAATTTAGATCACTATTGCATCAGTAGTAAAGTTTTTTTTGTTTTGCTTTTTTTGTAAGCGGGAGTGTTAGACTCTCGCTGACTAAAATCTTGAGAGGTCTTTGCAGTAGGGTGCAGTGGGGTTGCTGCGCTTAACTGTCTGCTCGAATAAATCTTTAATCGAGGCTTCGTATTTTTTCAGCGGCATCACTTTCCTTCGAAAACATGCCGAGACAGAAGAGTTTCGGATGCTTATCACTTAGATTTGGGTGCATATTCACAGCCCTAGCTACTATTGTAAGTAATACTTTATGATATATATATTGTATTGAATAGAGTATATATAGAACTAAGTTGTTTATTTAATTAAGAACAGTTATGATTAAACCGCCCGGTCCTTCCTGATTACAATACTTTAATTTTCTACTCGTAGTACCTAACTATAAAGTAGAAGATATTGCTGATACGTATTTTACGGTTTATTTTGGCACTCATGAAGAAAATTTCTGCCATTTATATTACCTCGATTTAGACCAGTTTTCCTTTCATTTCCCTACCTATGTGAATGTGACATTTAGAGCCATGTTTCAGCACAAATGGGTCGGCTCAGTTAGAGTGCCACAGTCAATACCACTCGGCTTCACCAAAAATCTGCGTGAAACAATCATAGTGTTGTGGTTAGCCGCGTGAGTGAGACTCAATCCTTCCTTTCCCCCATCCTTAAATCGATAAAACAACTTATCCCCAAAGGCCATCTAAAATATACTTGCCTGCCTATCTTTCTATCGTCGTTAAAATCATCGTTGACTTATAAAGTGTTTCATGTAGATTTAAGTCAGCCTAAGCTGTTACTGTACATAATATTGTTTTTTTTCTAACTTTTTTTTTCTTTTTATTTTCCAGCTATACACTATTCTAGCACTAGCACAATGTTTGGCATCGCTCGACAAACAGATCCCATCGGTAGATTCCAGTCATCTAGGAAGTATCTTCGTTTACTGCTTCGAGGTGACTGTGATCATCTGCCATATTGTCACTCTCATACTGACTACCATCATGCTGGTTGGAGTCTTGAAGGTATGGAAGAAGTTAAATTATTCTGTCTATTATTGTTAGTGTGATGTCTCTCCTTTTGTTTTTAGTCATTCTTCAGTTTCAAATGTAGGAACGCATTATTTAACAAAACACTACGCATTATTTACAAAAAAAATTCATTATGCATCCGCCTTTTTATACCTGAAATTAAATAAAATTTAAATTGCTGTTACCTATAAAATCTGAATTATAATATTTATTACCTTGAAGCAAAAATACCTTGGCTAGAGTACTATTATAAGGGATAACATTTTTTTACAATCTCATTGATTATTCAAAATGTAACTATCGTGATTAATACTATTCATTGAAAATAACGACTTACTCACGTGAAATCACTGAGAAAAGTCGTCACCGCGACGCAAACGCTGCTCATAAATAAGAGTCCCGTTGTAACTTGAAACTAGTAGAGCTTCTCTCAGTAATTTCACGCGAATAAGTCGTTATTTTCAATAAATCACATTGATCTTTCAATAAATTGACTGTTTAAGTAATAAGAATAACAAAAACACACAATTTTAATTAAATTATAAGTTAAATAAATACTATCTTACTAATATGCCATTTTTATATATTTTCCAGGAAAAATCTTACCTCATGAAGCCTTGGCTGGTGTGGACATCTTGCCTGGTGCTGGGCAATCTGTTGCTGATCATCTTCTGCACAGTCCTTATGATGGTCTTCAACAGACTCGAAGTGGAACCCGGGCTAATGGTGTCGTACTTGGTGGCATTTGTTGCACTTCGTAAGTATCTGTATCATGCAAATCATTTAACAATAACATCAAATGTATTAGCACTGATACATAATAGAGGTTCCTTTGATAAAAAAATCATTGCTCCTCGCAAGGATTTTGTCCAGTGCCCCGTGTAGGTTTATCATCATCATCATCAGCTTATAAGTGCCCGCTGCTGAGGATAAGCCTCTTCTCACACAGTGGCAAGAGTTGTGCGGTGTGTATTGAAGGTTCTATGTCGTCACCACACGATACGATATGGCCATGCTTGAAACATTGTGTAGTGAAGCACTACACAATGCTTCATAATGAAATTCTTTATTAAGACTGTTGACCACAAACCACAACGATCCCAACCTTAACATATAGTTTCTACCATTCATATTTTTTTAATTTCTGTAGGTAACACCGACTTCATTATACTTTAGATTAATCAGAATAAGATTTTTCATTACAGATTTAGAAAATTAATCGAGTTTTGACTTTTTTTCAGTGTTCCGAATCTACATGTTGACTCTGGTTGGAAGTTTCTACTTGCAATTAGAAGAGGAAAAAATTGAGCGCCTGCGGACATTACTCAACACGGATTCCTGGCACAGCGCTGCGTAACGTTGCTATTTAAATTGTTCAGGCGCTAAGAGTAATAGTCGAATTTTAATATGATGTGTTGGATTTACACAAATAAAAACAATGCCATTAATAACATTGCCTTGAAAGGGTGTGCTTTAAGGGTGATAATGGAAGCTTATATGAAATCCATCGTATTCCCTGATATGTTGTGATCAATATTAAATGGGTAGTAATTAATAATATGTAGGATACTAATAAATTAACAATGATTATGACAGTATTTTTAAGGATGGAAGTTTTGTACCTAAATGTGATTTTTTAATGTATTTTCTTTGTGTATTGCATTAACAGTAGACATCTTGTGTCACTTTGTGCTCATTGTAAATATTATATTTAATTTTAAGACTAAAAGACAAGTTTGTAAAGATTATTAAGAAATAAAAGATTTATTATGTGTATACATTTTTTATTTGGTATAACACCTTGAATGTTGATTTTATACAAAAAATACATTTTTATTTATTTTTATTAAGTTATAATTACTTGATAGAAAAATACTAGAGCCGACCTCGGATTCTTAATAGTACCGAGGGGCATTACAAAAATATATAAAAAATATACTGTTATATAAAATATATTTTACAGTAAATATAGGTACAACATAATATATAAAATATTTATAAAATCTATTATATATAAATTAATTCCTTTGTAGGCACTTAATATAATAGTTTTACAAAGTTGTTAATACATATTTGTACAGGTACCCATATTTTACCATTTGACATTAAAAAATTGTACCTACCTACCTTCAAAATAATTAATTTCAAACATTAATTTATTTAAACTTTATGCAACAAAACATTACATAGGCGGACTTAATGCCGTAGGCATTCTCACCAGTCAACCTTAGGGTGATGCAGAGAGAGTATGGTAGGTGGAAAAAATAATGACAGACTTTACCCTGTTATATGGACTTTTCGGGATTTAATCTTTTTATCTTCAACTTAAAAAATATTAATATTTTCCATTATCTATGTTACTGTGAGCATTCTTATTGTGCAAAACCTTTTTTTGGCCAGTAATTAGGATCCTTAATAAATATTGCTTCTCAATTTAAAATTTGTTTTATTTTTTCTTTAAAAATTCTAATGGCATTCTGTTTAAAAGTGAGATCGAACCAGAGATTTCTGATTAGAATTGGTTGGTTATTTACGACTTATAAATACCTATAATATTAATCACAAGCTGTGTTTAATTAGCAGCTGAATGGGTTATTAACTTCCTGAATATTAAGGCCAATTAATATAGGCCTGATTTTTCAATACTCAAATGAATGTTATCAAAGGAATAAAATTGTTGCTGTCACTGTCTTATACAAACATTACATAATACATTCCCCAGGTGGCCTTTATCAAACCATTGAAAAATCAGCCCTTCATTAGGTAGGTAATGAATATCTTCCGAACATGTTTTATTAAAAATAAACTTTGCTTTGCTCTTCAATAAACAAGCATGGTCGTTAATTAAATGGCTTACTAAGTTATTTGGCTATGACATTTATAATAAAAATAAAGTAACTGTTTTATATAAATTGATACATATTTAATAGATAAATAATAAATAAGTATACACATTAACATATTATGTTTGTATAATAATATAATATAAATAAATAAATTGTATTCGTTTTTAAATTATAGGAAAATTATTTACATGTATAACTAAAAAAATATACTTATGCAAAATATCGAGGTCGAAATTTAAAAAAGGTCGAAAGTTAATAAATAGTAGGCAATCTGCTGTTGAACCTGTTTTTGTCTATGGCTCTCGACCTTACGGAGATGTTATGATATATTATTCTGTATATAATAAATGGTTAACTATCAGGAGAGTGGTATAAAGCTCCTTATTTTTAACTCTTAAGCGAAGCCCGGGGTAGCATTTAATTATTACAGTACTAACTATACTTTCAGAACTAACTATACTTGGCTACGTATGTCATAAATAAAGCTAATAGACTGGTAATTAAAAGTATATATTTTTAAGTCTAATAAAAATATTTACATACTTACGTAATTTTTGCTAGTACATTATATCATTGAATAGGTTTTTACACTCGATTGTATAATTTTATTGGGTAATTTTATCAGTCAAAAATAAATTGATTTCAACAAAAATCATAAAAATTCTTAAAAAAACGGACACTTTTAATTATTAATTTTACGTTTAATCCATCAGACACAACTATTGTCTCGAATTACCACGATTGAAAGCTTAATTATTATATTCATCAGTATTTTTTTTTTAATCGTGTTGAAAAAAAAGACATCGTATTTTTTTTCTTTAAAAAAGACGTTGGATTTTCTTATGCGTCATGGGTGCAGTCATACAAATTCACATACACAAGCCACCCAGACCTGAAACACCAATTTGGGGATCACACAAAGTGTTGTTCCGTGCGGGAATCGAAACCGCAACACGTTTCACAGCAGCCAGTTACACAGCTAATGCATCAACCATGCAGTCGTTTATCAAAATATTAAATGAGTGTATCGTTATTTTAAGGTACTTTAATAAATGTAATAATTATCCAGTTGGAATGATTTATTATTGACTGAATCACTATCCCTATTCTCCCTCCAAGTCTTTTTAGATTCCGGATCATCTGATTGTTAATAGTTAATTTGAAAACCTTTTTAATAAAGAGCTTACTTAAGCTTTTGAAGTCTAGCTAAGAATGTAATCTATAAAAGAATGTAATGATCCCTAATCTCTATCCAAGTCTTTTAAGATTCTGGACCATTTAATTTTACGCAATTAAGTCGGAAAACAGCTTAAAAAGACCTTCCCTTTTTTTTTAATCTAGCAAAGAATTTATGTATAGACGTTCTCAGGTGTGGCGAGCGTTCTTTAGCTGTCATCAACGTTTACTACCAGGTAAATCTCGCCAGTTTAAAAATGTCTAATAAAAATTTCATTATTTAAACATATTTATTTACAATTTTATACGTGTTCCTTAATATAGACTTAAAACTAACTTGATAATAGATATCTAGTAAGGATATTATGTACAACTAGGCAGGGTCCCTTTCTCGTGAATATTTCACTGAACCGTCTCTCTCCATCTTCACAATCGAACTCCTGATTAGGATCACCAGGTACACTTGGAGCGCTGGAATAGAAAAAAAAACAGGAATTAAATCGATGACTACGTGGTTAGAAAATGAATGATTTGAGAACATAGGTACAAGATAGGTTTTTTTTTAGATAAGTGGTGAAATACTCAAATTACTTTTTCTACTGACTTCTCACTCTAAGGAGGTAAAAATTACTTTTTGTTAGGAAATTAGAGGGGGAGGAGGAGTGTCAGGCTCATTTCTAACTAAAAATCTTCCAATTAATTCTCCTGCATATTATGAGAAGATGTAGCTGTGTAGGTACAGGTACTACTTTTTAATTAATTTCAAATCGGTTCACATTTATTGTTTGGTAAAAGTCTCAACCAGTGTACTTGTACCTGTTCCGATTGGGTTGCCTATTGAGATACTAACAAAATATTAATCGACCTTAATTTTAAAGGATTAATATTAGAATTACAAAGATTGAAGTAGAAGTTCATATCTTTTAACAAGCATTTCCTCCTATGGCTTTGGTGCTTTTACAAGCATACGATTTCACATACACATAACACCTAGACCAGGAACTATAATTGGTGGATCACACAAAGAGTTGTTCATAATGATGTTACCGTGTACCTTATCTCCTCTTACAGATGTCATAAGAGCAAATTTAGAACCCATACACTTATTAAAGAGTGTGCAGGAGCTGCTGTTTGTTATAGGATGACCAGGAACCTTTTTATCAATGTGTCAACCTGTTTACCAAGAAACTTTGCGAAGATTCGAAAAGACCAATAGTCCACGAGTAGACCGTGACTAGCTATACACTATATGAGGACAATTAATCTTCTGTGTTATAGTATACCTTCTATCCTTCAAGAAACGAGCGTACTGCTTGTTAAAAGGCCGACAACGTACCTGTGACTCCTCTGGTGCTGCAGGTGTCCATGGGCGGCACCGATCACTTACCATCAGGTGATCCGTCTGTTAGTTTGCCTGCTATTCCATAAAAAAATAGGATGGCAAACGAGCAGGTGGATTATCTGGTGGTAAGTAATCAGCGCCCGCAACTACGGAGGAGTTACGAGTGCGTTGCCGACCTTTCGGGGTTCATTGTTTTGGAGATTTAGAGGTTGGGGAGGGATTGGAGGAAAGAAAGGATTAAGCTTCCGGTAAACTCACTCCCACGGCGAAATACAACGCTATGGTTGTATCACGCCGGTTTTCTGTGAAGCTGTAGTCCTATCGAACTACTGTCGAACCTGTTCTCCTGTCGAACCAGCGTTCTTGCCAAAGCATGACTCTTTTACACTTAAAACGAGAAACTAATTAAGATAACAACTTAAATAATGATAGACTTACTTAGCTGGAACAGCTCCAAGAAGAGCTCGCTGGCTGTCTCCTTTGTGAGGAAGGCGATACTGTACACGAAGCCGAATATTGAATAGACGATCTCAAAATACAAATACACCTTCATGAGCAGCACGTGTTTCTGGAACATTTAACATTGAGAAAATTAAAATTTGTTGGTACATTTTTCTTAATCTACCATGTCTCAAAATTTCGTATTTCATCGTAGGTGCGTTTACAAAATAAAGTTTTGCATATACATCACACCCAGACCTTTAACAACAATTAGTGGTTCATACAATGGGTTATTCCGTGCGGCAATGGAACACGTGACACGGCAAATGGTTGCCCGCGGAACGCGACAACTCAACAACAAAAAGTGGTAGGGAGTTATGAATCGTGTATAAGACGACCACTGCAACACAACACAAGCCTAAAGTTTTATTTTAGAAAGTACATATAACTAAAAAGAGTCATAATGGTACTTGCGAGGTTCTGAACCCCGATGCACGATGCACGAGAAGCGGGCACGTTAACCTCCGGCTCACTAAGACTTACATATTTTTACGACAAATGTAAACTTACCCTGTGCAAAGCGACGATGAAAGTGACAGCCATGATGAGTTCTATCAACAAAGCTACGACATCTGTGATGAGTCTCGCGTACTCTGAGGCAAGCGACATCTGCTCAACCTCCGAAGCGTTGCGGATGTATGATATATAGAGTGATAGGAAACATGTCACAATCACTGTCAAAGTCTGGAATCGAGAGTAAAAATTGTTGATGATAGCACATTTGAACTATGTATTTACAAATTCAAAAAGAGAACTTAGTTTAAGTGGCTAGACTTACCCCCGGTTTCTGAAAGGCCGATCAATGTTAAAATCAATTTAATCTTTTGTCAAGTTATCTGATTGGTTGATTCTAAATAACCACTCAGATGACTTGACAAGAGATTTAACAGGAGATTAGTTAATTTTAGCGTTGACAAGCCTTTTAGAAACCGGGTGTCAATGTTGTTTTTGGCGCATTTATATTGGTAGTCCTTTAGTCTATTCTTTGAATATGTTTATAGGTAAATATTCTTTGGTATAATGTCACCTCATGATTTTAAAAAGTCTGAAATATTTTGCGATCTAAAAATGATCGCTTCTTTCGAAAGTTTGAAGCCAGATTATGGATGTGCCCTCGTTCACTGTCGCGAATGAGTCTAAATGACCTCAACGCGCAAGGGCGACAGCATCATTAATTTTATGATGTGAACTAAACCACACATATATTAATAGTTTAAATTATGTTATTACCAAATTGATGTAAGCGAAGGCTATCAGGCCCTTTCGTAAGGGGAAACAGAAGCAACATCTCGTCAGTAGGGGGATCTCCACTGCATCCTTGATCTTATTTCTGGAACAAACGAAAAGTATTAACTAAATGAGAATTCTAAATCTTAAAATTTCTTTTTCCTCTATCTTCATAAACTCTAAAATTACCATGAATTTGACGTGACTCGTCCACACTAGTTTTTTTTTCTAAATTTGCAATTCTTTCTCGTTTTAGCCTCCCGGTAGTTATTATGCAGAAATAAGAAATTGAAACTACCCCAATAGTTATTTAGAGGACGTAGAAGCATAGTGTAGATGGCATGATGGGGTTGATACCGAATATTTCTTTTGTGATATGCCATGTACACATTGATAACAGGATGGTAAGCAATCAGCGCTGAACACAATACCAGAGGAGTTGCAAGCACCGGTATTATCGAGATAAGGGTTTTTGGGGATTCAAGGATTGGGGAGTACGTATTTTATTGTTTGTACCTTAATTTATGTCTGAGGTTTAATTTTATTATAGTATAAAATCTGTATAGAATAAAAAAAGTTATATGGTACATATCGAAAGCTGAAATTGCTGGACCAATTCAGTAAATTTTGCCTTTGACATATTTGTGGAGGTCCAGGGCAAAGGAATTGAACCATATTTCCTGGACTTCCACTAAATTTAACAATGTTTTTACTGTCCGGTGACATATGTAAGTACACACTAGAAACTACTTAAAATGTCAATTCTCTTTTCTAAAGAAGCTGTTGTTATGTAGTTAACTAATATTCGATACTAGACAAGGCATAAAAAGGGCAAATATTACAATTATTAAGGTTTGAATACCTACTATTATTGAATATAAGCATCTAATATGCACTCTGACACAGATGCAACCTAAAAGTTGGAATATAATGGGTATAGATAAAATGCATGGATGCAAGAACAAAGGTTGGTCGCGTGGGAGGTCCGATAACTACTATCAAGCCCTTATCTCCGGACGTTAATGTTGCTCATTCTCCGTGATACTTACAACTATACATAGAGTCTATATTTATTTATTTACGCTTAAGATGAAATCCAAACTAATATTATAAATGCTAAAGTAACTCTGTATGTCTGTCTTTTCTTCACGCCTAAACTACTGAACCGATTTCTGTGAAATTTGGTACAGGACATAGGGTAGTTTTTGGACCAAAAATCTGCAGGAAGTCACTGGTTCACGTGTACGGAGTCGTGGGCAAAAGCTAGTCCAAAAGATTCTTCGCAAATTACTCTTTTTTTATTTCTGAATGGGCAGAGATTTGCCCGTTGTCACGCCTGGTTGTAAACGATAATGCGACCTACGATGGAGCCTACCTGTAAGCAACCTATTCACTCGGATGAAGATACCCAGGTTATATCCTTCGGGGAACACAGACTCCGGCAAAGAATTCTACTTCTTAGCGGTTATTATCATATACCTATATATGTATATGTATTATTATTGCCCTTCGCAAGAATAGTTTGATCTGGGCAAGCAGGAAAAACTAAGTAGGTAGGTATAATCTGTATTTCTTAAGTTAAGTTTTGGTTTTTTCCTCTTACAAGTATCATTTTACTTGGAATACGTGCGTCAGTCTAAAAGAGGTAGATATATGTAGGCATTCGACATGAGAAATGATAAAAAGAAACAATACTACAACAAATATTTGGGACTTGGGTAAGGTTTAGGATAGAATATAATTTCTGGCCAGCTGCAATGTACAAGATTACTTTGAATGAAGAATGTAATGTATGATCTATCTGCTACATATTATTTTATTTCTAAGAAACTTACGTATATCTTTACACAATAATGTAACCACATAACGCAAACCTCTCAGTGTTTATTTATGTAGTGGCAAGTCGTGTCATATATACCTAATAATTGTTCTTATAAATATTTGATGCTGTTTTTTATTATAACTTTCGTGAGACATATTAAATAAATTATTATGTTTTCGGCTTACTCGCGTAATTTTTTGACGAGATACTCGACTAGTTTCAAGCCACGCTAGAGGCCCGTATTCATGAGCAGCATTCGCGTGAAACTAGTGAAAATAGTCGAGTATACATAATAATTTAGTTGATGCTGTGTCAAAAAACGCTTATAATAATATTTTGTACCTATAGCTTTTCGAACCGGTCAGATACAGTATTTGCGATTCTTCTTCTATTTTAAAAAGAAAGGTATTAAATAAAACAATAATAACATAAGTTTTTCTTACAAATCTTGCAACCTCCATCTTTCTTTACGAAAAATGATCATTGTCTAAGACAAAATTAACTAGCAACTTGTACTTTAGCGTTGCAACATGCAAAGTTACTTCACTGAAGGTGGATAGGCACTGCTCATTAGCAAGTTGCATAACTGCATCACGTGTTAAGCTGCACTTGGTAACAGTTTTGTGTGCCGTATACAATTGTATATTTACATCTTTTTGAAGTTAGCCCGGCATGTAATATTGCAGAGTGTAAGGCGTTTTTTTTGAGGTGTATAAATCATCAAATATTTTCTCCCACTTTGGTCGGGATGAGTGAGAGTGTTTTTATTGTGTATAGTCGGCGAACGAGTTCATGGACTACCTGATGGTAAGCAATCAGCGTCGCCCATGCACCCGTAACGAAGGAGTTACGAGTCTGTTGCCGACCTTTTAGGGATTAGGGATCAGGGGAGGGGAAGGATTGGGAATCCGGTAACCTCACTCACACGGCGAAACACAACGCTGTGGTTGTTTCTCGCCGGTTTTCTGTGAGGCCGCGGTATCACTCCGGTCGAACCGACCCATTCGTGCCGAAGCATGGCTCTCCCACAATTGTGTGTCACACTCTTTTACTGACTAAGAAACACCCCGTTCTTTCTCCTGTTCCAAGCCATGCCGCGGTACATACGCGCTTGACCCGCAACTAGGTATTTTCTAGACAAGCGAACAGAAGTTTCTCACTATAGTAATCAGCTCTGTCCATATAGACAAGAGCATAAAAGTTACATGTGCTGTTAATGGTCTCTTGGGGGAAGGGAGGTTAGGCCGAAACAACGCGTTTTACGTTAATATTTCAATAGCTTTCTGTGCATATTTTATAAAAAATAGACCTATCTCATCAATCATTCTATCTATTAAAAACAGCATTATAATCTGTCACGTTTAAAGACCGAAGCATACATAGGGATAGACAGCAGGGAGCGACTTTGTTTAATACTTTGTAGTGATGATAGGGTTCTGGTAGTGTGTGGTAGAAGGATTTAGTCTTAGCTGTATTGTTTTATCACTTGATAATGTTGCTAATCCACAGAAATAAAATATCCAACTCGCAGTGCATCGATGAGCCTCCATCGATTTTATTTTACTTGCAACCGCAACTAAGATACTTACTTATTTAAAGGACGTGAATGATTGTTCGGTATTTTTATCGCTCTCCAAAAGCCCGTTTTTTTGAGGGGGAAAGTCATCAAATGACTTCTTTCACCCTGGATGAGGCGAGAGGTTGCGTCAGACTCTTACTGACTAAGAAGCACCTTGTTCTTTTCTTGCTTCGTCCGTATACAACTTTGTTCGAGCCTATTTCGAGATTCAGATTGTAGATAAAAAAACTTGCTTGTTTAAGTATTATATTACTTATTAGGATTTGGATGTTTGAAAAATTTCAAAAATAACATGCAGTCCTGCTATCCTGGTTGTAAATAAACTCGCATTATGTACGAATCAGAGAACAATAAAATAAGTTATGAAAACTAACATAAATCTTTCCCTTCAGATGTTACTACAAATATTTTTTTTCTTAAAAAACTTTACCCCTCACTATGATTTTCTTCAGTATCTTGGGGTAATATTTTACAAACATACAATTTCACATACACATGACATCCAGACCCGGCCCAAAAATTTGTGGATCACACAAAGAGTTGTTCCGTGTGGGAATCGAACCTGCGACACGTTGCTCGTCAGCTAGTTGCCCAGTCACCGCACCAACCGTGCAGTGGAATTTTGTATGTATACACAAGTAAATTAAAGTTCATTTTTTTCCGTATTGTTTAGTAGCCATCACCGTGACGGGACAATATGCGTAAACATATTTGTACAGAATAAATGACTGCAGGAAACGTGATCAAGTACTCAATGATGAACGTTCATTAATGAACGAAGGTCGAGCGATTAACTGTAATTCAGTGAACGATAATGCCTGACAGTTTACAGTGAATGGACAAGGCATTGTTGTCAAATTGTCATATTTACCTTAGAATGCACGTGTTTAATTCAAGTTGGACGCGTGTTGGTTAGTTTTGAAGTAAGACGGGAAATTATGATTTTAGAACAAGATTAATAAAAAGTAAGATAACCATGCTTCGGTACGAATGGGCCGGTTCGCCCGGAGTAATACCTACCACTGCTTTACAAAAAAACATCGTGAAACTATCCGTGCGCTATGAGACTAAGATAAAGATTATCGGAAGCCCAAATCATGTCCATCTCCTACCCCCAACCCTCGGCCGTCAGAGATTACTTTCCATTGGGTTATCCACACAAGCCTTGCCTACCAATCCTATGAAAAAAAAATTCGGCCGACAGGCGACAATTGGGATAGGTCAATACGGTAGTGTCCAACTAGTCAAATTCAATACTTTTATCCAAATGTCAATAACGATACTTTTCTATGAAATTTGTATGAAACACTGAGTTATGACGTCATAGAATGTTTGCGTCGGATAGCTTACTTATTTCTTAAATATTGGCTAAAAAATATCAAAAATTTTGTGTATCGATCGATTGATGAATAAAAGATTTTTTTTACTTGATATAAACTAGTGCTTGACTGCGAGCCCACCTGATGGTAAGCAGTGATGCAATCATTGATGGTAAGGACCACTAGTTTATTAAGAGCCTATATATTCACTTTAGCCTTGAAGACATCTAAATTATATTTGGACGGAAAGAGTGCAGCCGACAAACTGTTCCAATCCCTTTCAATATTTTATTGTAAAGAAACGTTCAATTAATTTAGTTTTGACCTCGGAAACTACCTAATTATTTCGATACCTTCTGTGGTTGATCTTCAATGAGTATGGT